GGTTTGTCCCAAACATGAAAGCGCTTCTATGGCCGCTTACAAAACCATAGTCCTCAACACATTTGGAAAACAACCATAGCATTGGCACAATCAGATCCCACACTTGCCTCATTCAAATCGTCTGGATTTTTCAATCTTAAACTTCTCTTTTAAAATCTGACTAAATCAGTTTACCATCTTCGGTTATCTGAATGTAATTGAATGCCCTGGTTAGTTTTCTTAACAAATGTTTCTCTCTAAATCTGATATCAATCTTGGTTGACTAACGGATCAGCATTTCATTGTTGATATCAATATTGGTTAAAGATCCTTTGGTGATTTCGTTGAATCAAATCCTAATACGTTTTATCCAAGAATACATGTCTGGATTGTACCTGTGACTGGTAATTTTCACTTTGGGTTAGGATCTTTTTTTCTGGAGTAATTTGGGATCCATTTCACATGTTTATTCAGTATCCGATGTTAACATGGTAGATCGTTCAATAACTTCAATCCTGGTTCAGGCCATCCTCTTATTAACAAGTGTCCATGGTTTTTTAGGGAATTGCCAAATCTTAAGCTCATACTTTTCTGTGCCCCTTTCGGGGAATTGAATAAATAACCCTATACTCGCCTTCTGGACGTGCTATGACTCGACAAGGGTTGCGAGATTAATATGTATATCACTCAAGATTCCAATTCTCACTCTTTTTGAATAATCTATTTTAAATCAAAATTGCCAAAAATGGGACTTCTTTGCAGTAGTCAGGAGTTGCCATCTAAAATATTTGTCCGGGTTTTTATGATATTTTAGAAAATCCATTGACGTCATGCCTAATCCAGGTTCTGTTTCACCAAGTTTATTGGTCTTCAACTCTGGACTTATCCGATGGGTTATGTTCATGAAATTACACTCCCCACTCCCCGATGTCAAAAGATCTTCCTCTACCTAATGCATGACATAACTTATGTTACACTTAATATCTCTCTTCCGTGTTATATTCAGTGCATATACTTAATAAGTGAATCTAGTACACACAAGTATAGACTAACTTGCAATGAATTGGTGAAACACTGGGTGATTCATTTTGTTTTGGGGTTAAAATTGGGTTTTGGATAATTAAACCACTTGGAAAAAGGGGTATCGGGGCATATGCGACACCATTACTCAACTATTATTCAATGTCAACAGACTATCCGTTTATCACAAGCATGCAATCGCAATTATTATGGCCTCATGCGAAGCATGCTAACATGGGCAAACAACAAATTGATATTGCTAAATGAGTAAAAGGTCCCCGTAGTACTCCAACTAAAGAGAAAACGGAGTTAAGGAAAAATGCATGATTCCTAACTATCAAAATACAAGCACAACATGCAATAATGAGACTCTAACTTGCAAGAATTGAACACATGATTCATGTTTGTTTTGAAATTGTTTTGAATATGTACAACTTGAAAAAGTGATCGCATATGAAAATTACTCAAATTATTCCAATTCAAGCAAACTAAGCCCTTCACCACAAGCATCATGCAATATAGCACTTAAGCAATTAGCCTCATGGCAAGCATGCTAGACATGGCAACATCAACATGCGATATACTAAAGCGAGTAAAAGGTCACCTAGTACTCCAAGCTAATAAGAGAAACGAGTTAGAAAAATGCATGATTCCTAACTATGCAATATGACTAATGCAACACATGCAATATGGAATCTAAATAGGCTCGATACTTAACATGTCATGTGAATCAATTTGATAACATGTGGTCTAAACACATATTCAAAGAATATTAAACTAACAATGCAAGTTAGAATGATGAACCAAGCCTCAGTGCATGCAAATCAAGTGGATGCAAACATGAGTTATGGAAAACAAAATATGATGCTCTAATCTAAGCATCGTAAGCAGTTAAATAAAAGGGAAAAAGACGTGGGATTAGAAGACATACACATTATTATATTGCGCTCTCACGAATGAGAGTTCGAATGAATAAACTAGCTAAGCTAATTAATTAACTATTATAAACCCAAGTGAATAAATTAGCTAAACTACTTTAACTAATTATTACAACAAATTAATTAACTATTCTAGCTAATTAAAATAATTACAATACGATACGCATTAGCTATTCTAACTAATTAATTACAAAGCCACTTCTTTAAGCACAACACTAATATTATTACAACACGGATCCCGAGGATCGATGGAAGACTCATACATGAATGCCGTTTCCACCCGAAAACGGCCACTATTCTGCTTCCATGATGCCTTTGTTGCACAGTAGAACACTTACACAGTTTTCCACCTCCAGACCAACTCTGTTCTGCTTCAAAAGTACATTGCTGGATTTTACACTGGTGGCCAGTAGAGGGCATGTTATCCACTGATGATGGCTTGCTGGCCACCAATAGTGACCTGTCGGCCACTGATGACTGGATTGTCTTGCTACAACAGAGAGCAAATCGAGCAGGGACATGGTATTCTCAAGGGTTTGTTTGCACAATTTACCACTCCTTATCATTTGAACAACTCAAAGGAGTAGCAAGTTTGATTCACAAACCACCAATGGATGCAATTTGATTGCATGATGGCTTGTGAATCAAGTGTGCAAGTTCAATAAATGCAACAAAACAAGACTCTCAAAATAATCTCTTTATCATGAAAGATCAAGGGAAGTATTTAAGAATGAATCTTGAACCCTTTTCATCACTGATGAGTATGAAATGACTCAAGACTCAAGGGTTCAATTAACATCCGATTGTACCCAAACCAAATTATTATTTTGCTCTTTTGTATTCACCAACTTCATTACTCTAGTTTAGTTACCTCTCAATTCTTTAATCAATTAAGTCCAAAGGTGAATTTAAGTCCTCCAATAGAAAGAGGGCTCAAACCAAGTGTTGCTGTAGGCATAAAAGAGGCATCATACCGTTGGTAATGAACCGCCAAATGGATTAAACCCTTAATCATGACACCTCAATCTCATGCTTAAACAAACAAATTGTTTGAAACCACTTTCAAAGAAAAGAAAAAGCCAAGAAAGGGGGGAGGTTACAGAGGTGATTAAAGGTGTCAACAAGTAAGAAAAGCACTAAATAAATGCAATCAACTCAAATAAGGTGGTGTCTAAGGCCTAAAATACCAAACTTATGAGGACAATTACACTACAAGCATGCAATATAAGGCTCAAATACAATGAACACTTAAAAAAAAGTCCTAAAATAGTGCTAAATAAGTCCTAAAACATGCTAGAATTAAGACGAAAATAGCTAGAATAATAAGCTAAAACATAGATCATGCTAGGCTAGTAAACAAGACACAAGGAGGGGGGGCTAAACCCTTCAATTTTGGACTTTAAAATAACATTTTAGCCACTGAAATACCTCTAAAAATTAGTGTTTAAAAGCTTAAAAGAAGATAGTGTAAAGGTGGGAAACACAAGCGTCAAGGCCATGGGAGCAAGGTGTAAAGAAGGGAAAGCCTCCTATATATAGAAAACCAAGCAACTCCCTCAGAAATATCTATACATACACGTGTAGGAAGGTGCATGCATCTATGCTAACAGCCAGCACAGCTGGCAGAAAAATATCTACAAAACACATTGCTAGCTGGCAGGCCACTACTGGTGGCCGACAACTAGAAGCAATGGCCGGCAGGCCACCAGAGGTTGCAAGCTTGAAAATCCAAGGTTGTGGTCCAAAAACAAGGCAACAAGGGTGCAAGGTTTGAAGGGCTCAAAGCTATGGCATTTCGCTGAGGACTTCGAGCACTTAACGAGCATATACGCTTATCATTGGGTGTGCAAGAAATGACGTCCAAGTCGTAAGGCCGATCAAAATGGAGTGTCTACACCGTGCATCTGTTACTTGTTACAGGTGTGGCAAAGTTGGCCACATAATGAAAGATTGTCCACTCGGGTTTGAGAATGCCAACCACCCCACAGCAAGTTCAACCGGATCTGCTTCTGTAGCGAGGTCAAATGCAAGAACTAATGCCAGAGGTAACGCTGGGAATGAAACGTTAAGGCAAGGGAGAGTGTTCGCACTAGTGCTTGGGAATGTACAGAACACCGAGTCTGTGGTGTTAGGTATAATTTCCACTTGTGCCCAAAATGCATATGTCTTGATAGATTCTGGTTCTACACACTCATTTGTGTCGTATGTCTTTTCTCGAAAATTAACTAGACCTTTAGAACCCATGAATTATTTATTGTCCATATCTAAGCCATCTGGGGGTTCTATGATATATGCTTATGTCTATCCAGCATGTGATATTGTGATTGGTAATGTGACATTGTATGTTGATTTATTGCCATTGGATATTGATCATTTTGACTGCATACTGGGTATGGACTGGTTGACGAAGTACTGTGCAACTTTTAATTATGTGAATAAATCTGTTGTATTTCGTCCACTTGAATTACCTGAATTTGTGTTTACTGGGAATGGGGTAGTTCCTCCCCCATATTTGATTTTTGTCATGGAGTTGTTAAACTGCTTAGAAAGGGATATAGGGGTTATATGTGTTGTGTTTTGATTGAGACTTCTGATAGTTCTAATGTGGAAACCATTCCTTTTACTTGTGAATTTCCCGATGTGTTTCCAAAAGAATTGCCTGGGGACTTAATTGATAGAGAAATTAAATTCACCATTGATATAATACCCAGAACACAACCAATTTCTAAAATCTCATACCAAATGTCAACTTCTGAATTGAAAGAATTAAAAGTTCAACTCCAAGAACTCTTAGACAAGGAATTTATCCGCCTTAGCACTTTACATTAGGATGCTCCAGTCCTATTTGTAAAAAAGAATGATGGAACATTACGACTGTGTATAGATTACAGAGAGCTGAATAAAATAACCATTAAGAATAAATATCTATTGCCTCGAATAGATGATTTGTTTGACCAACTTCAGGGAGCACAAGTGTTTTCGAAGAGAGATCTTAGATCCAGGTATCACCAATTGAAAGTCAAGGCAGAAGCTATGGAGAAAACTGCATTTAGAACTAGATACAAGCACTATCAATTTTTGATAATGCCATTTGGGGCAACTAATGCACTTGCAGCGTTTTTGGACTTAATGAATAGGGTTTTCAAACAACTTCTTGATGAGTTCATAGTTGTATTATTGATGATATACTGATTTACTCCAAAAGTAAAGAAGAACATGAAAATCATTTGAGAATTGCTTTACAGATTTTATGGAAAAAAAAGTTGTATGCAAAATTTTCCAAATGTGAATTTTGGCTTAATAATGTTGCATTTTTGGGGCATGTAATCAACAAAGATGGCATCTCAGTCGACCCGTAGATAATTGAGGCAATTGTGAATTGGCCAAGACCAACTAACGTATCCGAAGTTAGAAGTTTTCTCAGACTTGTTGGCTACTACTATAGATTCATAAGAGACTTCTCAAAACTTACCATGCCATTGACACAATTAACTCAGAAAAATGTACCATTTGATTGGACCGATCAGCGGGAGTCATCCTTCTAGGAATTGAAGACTCGATTGATAACTGGACCTATTCTAACATTGCCCAATAGAACCGATTGGTTTCAAATTTACAGTGATGCTTCATTTAAGGGTCTGGGGTGCGTATTAATACAGAACGGTAAGGTAATTGCTTATGCTTCTCAGCAACTTCAATTATATGAAAAGAACTATCAAACCTACGGCCTTGAACTTGTAGATATGGTTTTTGCTTTGAAAATCTGGCGTCATTATCTGTATAGTATAACTTGTGCGGTGTATACTGACCACAAAAGCCTTAAATACTTCTTTACTCAAAAGGGGTTAAACATGAGATAGAGACGATGACTTGATTTAATCAAAGATTATGACTTGCAAATTCTGTACTATCCGAGGAAAGCCAATACCGTTACAGACGCTTTGAGCCAAAAATCAATTAGGAATTTGTCTTGTTTGCTCACTGGCCAGAGAGAATTATTGAGTAACTTGGAGAAGAATGAGATTGAAATTGTATTGCAGGAATAATGCAGTATCTTAGTTGTCATTTCTGCTCAGCCTACAATCATTGAAGAAATTGGAAAGAAACAACTTGAAGATGAGTTATTGAAGAAAATTGTTGATGAGATTGACTCAAAACTGAGGTCGGAATTTGTGCTTACTAATACTGTGTTGAAATTTCAGAATAGACTTTGTGTACCGGATTGTTCTGACTTGAGGAAACGTGTTATGACTGAAACTCACAATTCTAAATTTTTTATGCATTCGGGGAATACGAAGATGTACCATGAATTGAAACAAAATTTCTGATGACCAGGAATGAATAAGAGCATTGTTGATTTTGTGGCTAGATGCTTGTATTGTCAACAAGTTAAAGCTGAACACCAACGACCCACTGGATTAATTCAACTGCTTCTAATACCAGAATAGAATTAAGAGCATATTACGATGGGCTTTATTGTTGGATTGCCTCGCTCCTCTCGAGGTATGGATTATATTTGGGTCATTGTTGATTGTTTAACTAAATCTGGCCACTTTTTGCCTGTCAAATCTTTGTATAATGCGGATAAGTTGGCTAATTTGTATGTCAACGAGATTGTGAAATTGCACGGAGTTCCAGGTTCCATAGTATCCGACAGAGATCCGAAATTTACTTCAAAATTCTGACAAAGTTTACAACAAGCTTTTGAGGACTGAATTGAGATTGAGTAGTGCTTACTAACCACAAACAGACGGCCAATCAAAAAGAACGATACAGATGTTAGAAGATATACTCAGAATGTGTGCCCCGAATTTCCAAGGCAATTGGGAGACCTATTTACCATTGGTCGAGTTTGTGTATAACAACAGCTATCATTCGAGTATCGGTATGACTCCTTATGAAGCTTTGTATGGTAGAAAATACCGTTCTCAAATTTGTTGGGCCGACGTAGGTGATAGACCTTTATTGGGACCGAAACTTGTACAAGAAACAACGAAAAATGTGAAATTAATTCAACAAAGATTGAAGACTGCACAAAGCCATCAAAAGAATTATACAGAAGTCCGAAGAAGAGACAAAGAATATGAAGTCGAGGATCACGTGTTTATCAAAGTGACTCCAATGAGAGGGCAAACTCTGTTTGGAGTAAAAGACAAGTTGGTACCAATATATGTTGGGCGTTATGAAATCTTTGAGAAGATCAATCCAATGACGTATTAGGTAGTCTTATTGCTAGTCATGGAGCATATGCATAATGTTTTTCACATATCCATGCTTCGGGACTATCTACGAGATCCGTTACATGTTATTGAACCAACACATGTACTTTTGAAAGATGGCTACACCTATGAAGAGAGGCCAAGTCAGGTTGTGAATCACCAGATCAAAAGATTGAGGAACAAAGAAATCCCATTAGTGAAAGTGGATTGACAAAACCACAGAGGAACATATGCAACATGGGAGACGGAAAAGGACATAATTAAGAGATACCTTGACTTGTTCCCTTTGAATCCGATATTCTACCAAAATGAAGGTAAATCGAGTTTGGAGGACCAAACTCTTTAAAGGGGGAAGACTGTAACAACCCCGACTTATGATTAACTGCTAAACCATGATTAAGGATGCTTAATAAGTAATTAAGAGGAAATCATGTGTTAATTGCATGTATTATTTGTTATTTTTTTGTATCTATCTGTCGAAAGAATATTCGTTTGTGTTTCTGTTTGTTCTGCGAATTGAAGGCCTTATCGGCATCCGATCACGAAATTGACTTAGGTTATGTGTTATTTGAAATTTTTAGAATTTTGTGGTAGGTCTAATTGAAATTCAATTCGGAATAAATTAATTAGAATAAAATAGGTATAATTAACTAAGCTTAATCAAGTTTAATAAAGCTTAATTAATTTAAGCCTATATAAGGCTCCTTGGTTACAACACTCACTCTCATTTTGTCATCTTGAGAGAGAGCAGACGTGGAGAGAAAGAGAGAAGAGGAAGAACCAAGCTCAACTAGGGAGATTGCTAGGGAATTTGAAGGAATTGGCTTGAACTTGGCTAGAATTTGAGACGTTGGGAAGAATCACTCATGAACTCAAAGAATTGAGACTTGTAGGTAGAATTCAACGCTTAAATTATGTAGTTAACTCATTTAATTTGTGAATTCAAAGGAAAATAAAAGATTAGTGCATGAAATGAACTAAGGTAGTAGGGAAGAAGAATAGCAGAGCATGCATGTGCATTTCATGGTATTTTTAAACTTGATATCAAGTGAATTCTCCATGCATGTCATGTTTTCAACTTAATTATGAGACTTCATCATGTTTTTCATTAAGTTCCTTTGTTTGAGCATGATTTGACAGGTTTAAGTTCAAGGAAATTATTTGCATGTTTGTATCATGAGTTTTGAGTTGAATTCAACAAAATTCACTTGTTCTTGGGCCTTGATTTTGTGAAAAGATCTTCAATTCATGATATTCTACAAGTTTCTAAGATTGTGTTTGGTAACGTTTACATTTTCAGTTTATATTTACAAAAATTTTATAAACTAGTTTTTGTTTATTTTTTGTTTATTTTTAGAAAAACATAAACTACAAATGCGTTTGGTAATTGACAAATTGTTTAAAAAAATTTAAAAATATAAAAATGAGTGAGAAATGGCAAGTGGTGGCAAGTGGCGGTGGAAGACAGTGGTAGAAAGTGGTGACGGTGGGTGGTGGGTAGCTAGTGGTGGTGGGATCAAGGGAAAGTAATAGTGCTGTAAAAGTTTACAAAGTTAGACGAATAATGCAACAATGACCATCTATTTCTACCATCTTATCTTACCATATGATGTGTCAGCCTAACTGTCAGCATTGCATTAGAGATATACACAAATGATGAGACCCATTACACAAATATGTTGACAAACAAGATGATAAGCATAATATATGGTATAAATATGTGGTAAGCTTAGCAATATTTAAGGTAGATAACTAAATCCAGAAAGCTCAAAACAAACTTTCCACCAGGTAAATCTAAAGTTGTGCCATTTCATTTGTTTGGTTTACCAAAATAAACTAAAAGTTAAATGTGATAAATACTGATATAAAAATTATATAATCGAAATACTTATAGTATAAAGATGCTGTAAATGCTTAGTAATACAAATAAGCATCACCACTTTATGCAAGCACTCATAAATCAGAATACAATTTACAAAATGCAATGAATAAAATGATGCATAGCATAGAAACATGAGTCCTAAAAGTAGATGTACTTCTTGGTCATGATTAAGTAGTTTACAACTCACACAAACCAAGTGTATGTCAATCAATGAAGCACGGGTACGGGTACGCGTACAAATATTGATACTAGTACAATATGGGTACGTCGATACGGTAAAATTCCAAAAAACAAAAAAATAGAGTACAGACACACTTTGGTACATTTATAAAAAAATATTTATTTTTTATTTAGAGTAATGCAAATTAAATAGTTTAATTTCGTAAGATCCAATCTACAATTAACATGCAATGCCAAAAATAAAAGTATAAATCAAAATTAAATATCATTATATTAAATAACTTACAAACCATAACTTATTATTAAAATCATGCTAAACATAAAACTAAAAATAAAAAATAAGTCTAGTGCAATGAATTTTATCTTTATAGTGGAAGAAAATACTGTTTCGACTGAGATATGGTACAGCTTGAATATATACTAGATACATCTAGGTACACCAAAAATTAAAGGAAAAAAAAAAATTTGAATACGTGTTTCGTATATACAGAAGTATCATACGAAGTACCATATGAACCCCCTTCATTGGGACCCCCTTAACAACAGCAAATGAGCAAACATGTCCAAATACATGTACATAAGTGGATGCATATTTATAACTTGTTTCCAACAACTAAATAATTACAGAAATGCAACACTAATCTAAAAATGAAAAACATAGGAGTCATTTGGTTACATTACATGTTTCCTATTTTTGTTTCTAGAAAACAGGAAACAAGTTATTGTTTATTTCTTGGAGTTTGAAGTGGAAAAGGGCATCTGTTTACTGTTCATCCGCATGTTTTCACTTGTTTAGGTAACAAGTGAAAACAACTTTTTTGTGTAATCATTTTTAGTTGTGTTTTCAAAATTTTGAAAAATAAAAACACAAATACATTAAATGAAACACGATAAATTCAAGATGTGCAGAAGTTAGAACTTGGGATTGGGACAACTATGTGCACAAGGACAAACTTGTAAATCCAATTCAAGCTTTCTTCTATAGATTCTGTTGAAATAAAAGCATGTTTGTAGATAAATTTGTTTGGTTAAAATTTAAAAATGCAATTTGTAACAGATTCAAAATACCCAAGCAATGTTTTCTAAAGAAAGCAGCTCCAATCAGTCAATGGAGGCTAACAATTTGTTAGACATTCCACCATTCCTTTTTATACCTTTCTCTTGTCCTAACACCTTCAGGCTTCAATCTGCAGCATATCACTCCTTACCAATCATTTTTGGACCCAGATCAATGAAGTCAAATAAATCAAAACTAGCCTCATTTTGCAGGTATATTTCAAATTTTGATCCCCTAGTAGGAGCACACCAGAGGCTTAGACCACATTCCCCAGTAAAGAGAATCAATTTTGGGTCTCCCTGACTTACTTATCAAAAAGTATTTCAAAACTTAAACAATTGTCCATTGGACAATTTGTGAAGACCTCAAATTTCAAGGACACCTCAACACAACACTGCAAAAGCCAATCATTGCATATATAGTTCTTTGACCTGCCACATAAAAGCTAGAAAGGTCATCAGAGTAAGAACGTAAAAGCTAACCAGTCATATATGATAAACATGAGTAAATACATAATCACTATCACATACCCCCAGCACCTTCAGGGGAATGATGAACTGATGCATCTGACTGCTTCAGGCCCATTGCAACTAGGATGACTTAAAAAAATTGTCACAGTGAAAACCAACACTCGATTAAAACAGAAAGCAAGCAACAAAATAGTTAACAAACACAATAAGTCCAATGAAATAGAACAACACAAATGTTAGTAGCAGCCACCAATAAACTCAGACAAACTAACCTCTGAATAAAATAATAGAAACCAGACGCTGTATAGGCAGCAATGACCACCCAAATGATGAAATCAAATCCTACATAAATGCACCGAATATTGAGAAGCTTCCGAATGACTACTCCGACATAAGACTCAATGAACTGAACATTTTAGCCATGTCTCTGCAAATGTAATAACAGTACAGCAAGGTTAAAGATGTGAGTCCCAAACTTCCAACAAGAAGTCATGGCAAGAGGTAAGTAATCAGGTTCACT